AACCAGAATCTGTTGGGGGTACTATTTATGAGCCAACAACAACTGTAAGACACATTATGTACAAACCATTCTGAGCTTCAAATGATTCTTCGATACATTACAATATTTTGTTATTATACACTCTGTATGGAGCATCAGCCACTTCCACTCACCAATGGCATATAATGTTCTTGCTGAACGTGGGTCATCTTCCATGGATTTGCAACTCCATGAAACACGATGAAACCACTGCCAAATTGTAGGATAAAGAATTAAATATCTAAACTTCATTAAAGTCTACCTTGATATCAGTCTGAGAGTACACTCAAGTTGGATTCTACAGACAGTATGATCTTTGCTCAGTATTAAAGTCTACCTTGATATCAGTCTGAGAGTACACTCAAGTTGGATTCTACAGACAGTATGCTATTTGCTCAGTATTATATTCTACCTTGATATCAGTCTGAGAGTACACTCAAGTTGGATTCTACAGACAGTATGCTCTTTGCTCAGTATTATATTCTACCTTGATATCAGTCTGAGAGTAAATTCAAGTTGGATTCTACAGACAGTATGCTCTTTGCTCAGTATTATATTCTACCTTGATATCAGTCTGAGAGTACACTCAAGTTGGATTCTACAGACAGTATGCTCTTTGCTCAGTATTATATTCTACCTTGATATCAGTCTGAGAGTACACTCAAGTTGGATTCTACAGACAGTATGCTCTTTGCTCAGTAGCAATAATGGTTCGTATTCTTCTTCGATATTTTTACGCATTGTCATTTACTTCTTTTATGTCACACACATACATCTGCATGTGTTTGCAGTGCTGTGCGTACAGCTACAATTAATGTTACCGAATGTTTTTGACATAAAATATTCATAACTTTTAAAATAACATACATACATACATACATACATACATACATACATACATACATACATACATACATACATACATACATACATACATACATACATACATACATACATACATACATACATACATACATACATACATACATACGTTAAAGTCATTTAAAAAATAAAAGAAAGAAAATGCTACATTTTCAGTTGCATTTACAGTGAATTGAATGAAAATGAACAAAAGTAATTGTCAAACGTCGGGTACAGAAAATTAATAACAAGATCTCATTTGACCTCTCGTACTGTATTTATTAAATATATATTGTTGAAAATATTTCATGTACTGGTGGTAATCCTGTCATTTGACTTTATACCAATAAACTACATTTAATTCAAGTGAACTCAGTAGGTAATAGAATATCACGCAGAATTTACGCTGATGAAATATTAGGACTTACTGACTGACATCTTCAACGACTACTAAAGTAATAAAATAAAATAGAGACAATCATACATAAAATTATTATTTCATAAAGGATATACAATTTATCAATTTATAAAAAAGAACATTTCATACAATTTTATATAATACATTGGTATTAAGGCCATTAGGATACAAAATATCTAACTTATGAATCCAGTAAGTTTCTTTTAGGAGTCTATTCATGTCTCCATGCAAATGTGCCCTCAATGTGCAAACATAATAGAAAACTCTTCTTTCAGTAGCGCTAATACAAAAAGAAGTATTTTCTCTATGTTATAATGATGAAACATGCGTGTTTGACGCAGTATAAGTAAATTTAGTTGTGGGATGAAAATGATTTAAGCCATTAATGAATTTCTCCAGTTCTTCAGTTGAATGGTTCCAAATCATAAACATGTCATCCAAAAATTGCTGTGGAATACACTTCAACTTTTTGATGAAATCAGTAGTATCTTTATTGTATGAATGAAGTGATTTTATCACTATCAATAAATTTGGATAGATTTTCAGTATATGAATTACAACCTGATAACATGGGTCCCCCTGGATAATTTAAAGGTAAATAATGATCAGGATTTTTATGAGTTTTGGGTAATATGTAGAATTGAGGTGTGCGTATGTTAAGAGGGAAAGTATCAAATTCTTCATAAATGCAATTATTATTTTTAGCGATCTTATTAATGCATGGTGATATTTTTTATTAAATTTTCATTGACGGGTCTTCTTTAATATGTTGGTAGTATTTTTCTTCATTTAATTAACGTTTGACTTCTTTAAGTTTTGTAAAAGACATTTTTAGATGTAAATGTAATTAAAAATATTGATAACACTATTTCTACAAATAGTCATGTTAAGGAAACTAATATCCACCAGCATGTGGAATATTCTTCATGCCATCCAATGTCATGTAAAAACGGTATACCATATAGACATGCTAAAAAATACCGATGCATTTTTTCAGATGATTGTCAATTACAAAATTCGTTGAATGATTTTAAAACATATTTCCAAAACAGAAATTATCCAGTACATATCATTGATTCTGTACTGAACAGAACCCGTAATCTTACTCAAACTGAGGATTTAAACACAGCAAATTGTACAATGGAGAAAAATATAATTCCTTTTACAATACAATAAAATCCTTCATTAAAGAATTTTTAATTAATAAATATTGGAGTCTCCTAAATTTATCAAATAAAAACAACGTAAAATCACTTTACAACAATAAACCTATTCTTGCTTATAGAAGACCCAAGAATTTGCAAGATTTTTTAAATTATAACTAAACATACAGAAAATAATAAAAAAGGACAACTCTCGTCGTCTAAATGTAACAGACACCGGTGCTCTCATTGTGCAAGCATAAGAGACAGTTTTTTTTTTGTTTTTTTGTTTTTTTTTTTTGTTTTTTTTAGCGCTATTACAAAAGGGGCCCTAGTGGCCGAGTGGTCTAAAGCGCTGACCGTTACGGATCACTGCCTTCTCACCTCTGCATGAGTTTGAGTCCAGTCTCGACTAACGTGGGTAAATGAGAAAGCCTGCCAATAGCTTCTCGTGGGTCGGTGGTTCTTCCCTAGGTTTTCCAGGGTTCTTCCTCCACCAATAATACTGGCCGCCATGTATAGCCTATCGTGTGCTGAAAAATGGTTCTAAATCATACAACAACAACTACAACAACAAAAGAGACATTTTCTCTACGTTATAACACTAACTGCGTATCAACTGACGTGATTTATTTACCTGTAAAAAATGTAATATGCAATATGCTGGACAAACACTTCAAAACAAGTTTCTAAAGGAATGAATAATCATCGCTTTCATATTAAAAATTTATAAAGATCCTCAGTTTTTGTCTAATATTTCTACACATTTTAACACCAATAATCACCGTCTACTCGATTTTTCTTTCATGCCAATAGATATTGTGCATGGAGACATGAACAGACTTATAAAAGAGACTTATTGGATTCATAAATTAGATACTTTGTATAATAATGGCCTTAATACCAATGTATTATATAATTTTCTTTTCAATTGTTAAATTGTATATCCTTTATAACAATATGCATGACTGTATTTTATTTTATTATAGTACTTTACATTGGCATACATTACATTACATCTGCATACACTACGTCACATTGATATATATTACGTAACATTTGCATATATGACTTCACATTGTCATACATTACTTCACATGGGCATGCATTACCCTACATTGGCATACATTACGTGCAGGGAATTAAATTATATTTTGCTCGATATTCTGACATACGAGATCTACTTCCACATCCTCTTTTATGTCTGGCCTACTTACCTCATCCTTTCTTTATAATAAATGTATCCTTTGTGAGGTTTGATGTTTAGAGAGAGAGAGAGAGAGAGAGAGAGAGAGAGAGAGAGAGAGAGAGAGAGAGAGAGAGAGAGAGAGAGAGAGAGAGAGAGAGAGAGAGAGAGAGAGAGAGAGAGAGTCCATTTTTATGTCAGTTTTACCAGCAGAAATTGATTAACTGAGCCCGAAATTGCAAAACAATCTGATTCAAACTATCAGCCACATTTTACCGTCCGAATGCTCTGTGATTTCGGATCGTAATATGTACATCAAATGTTTTAACTGGTTTTACTTTGCGGGGTGGGGGTGGGGGTGGAGTGGGGGCTGGGGGATTTTTATGTCTTGAATTTGTGGGACGGTTGTATACTGAAGGCAAGTTTGGATTGTTTCTTGCTGTTGGTGTTGATGTTTAATGCAAGTATTGTTTTCCACTATACCTCTTCAGATTGTCAAACATTTCAAGCCTAAGATCGTTTAAAAAGGATATGTGAATTTTTTTCCCCCGTGCAGCCATTTAATATACTTAAAGTGAGTCAGCTATTTCCTTCTTTTAATATCTTAGGCAATTCTTCAAAATAACTCTCACATGAATCGATCTTGGAACCTTGTTGGTGAACTAGTTTAGCTCGACTTTATAAATAAACCCACAATAAAATACACAAATCGACTTTGTACTCAGTCATACATTTTACCGTCAGTTTTAACAGGTCAGGTTTAATTGGTGCACAAATGGTCATATATATATATATATATATATATATATATATATATATATATATATATATATATATATATATATATATATATATATATATATATATATATATATATATATATATATACGTTTTAAAACCATACATGCGTGGAAATGATTAATTGTCATGAGTCATGCCAAATATAGAAGAGTCGTGCAGCTCATGGTTTCATTTCTGTTAAAAACAAGTATGACATTGTGATATTTACCTTTCTTTGTATGTGTATTTATATTTGCAGCACGTACCAGACGACAACGATGTCACGTCGAGAGCAACTGTTAAATGAAGTGTGTGTGTGTGTGTTTGTGTGTGTGTGTGTGTGTGTGTGTGTGTGTGACTAATAACGTAGCTTATAAGTTTTATTTTTTCAGTCATATAGCTGCGTTGGAATCAGTGGGACAGTTAATAGTGATGGCTAGCACTGGGGCATAATGCCACAGACATGTAGCATGATGTCCCACTCAATCACATTACAGTATCCTGACACCAGGCCAACCAGTCCTAACACAAACCTCTTAATGCTGAGCGCCAAGCGAGGCAGCTTTTAGTACCATTTTTTAAAAAAAAAAGTTTTTGGTATTAGTTGGCCATGATCGAAACCACGACCTCCCGCATCCGAGGCAGACGCTCTAACCACTAGGCCACGGAGCTGTGTTTTATATATATATATATATATATATATATATATATATATATATATATATATATATATATATATATATATATATATATATATATATATATATATATATATATATATATATATATAAACTTTCCACATCGAGTAATATACCTTTTATCTAATGGACTAAGGCTGTATGCGCAATGTAAATGCTATTCTCACCTATGCAACACATAAATCTAGCTGTTTTGCTAACTTACTTTCCTTCGAGTCTAGGGTTCGGCTAATGTAGGTATGCGAGAAAGCTTGCTAGTGGCTTCTCATGGGTCGATCGCTCTTTCCTGGGTTTTCTCCGGGTTTTTCCTCCACCATTAATAATGTCCACCATGTATAGCATATCTTGTCCTGCAAAATGGCGTTAAACGCAACAACTGCAACCATTAACCTAACTTTCCTAATCTTAGTCTGATTGTCGAAGTTCGAAGTTGTTGACATCGTCGAAATTATGATGTCGTAATGTGCATGGAGTCTCATGATTTGACGTTAACGTAAACTGAAATTGACGATACAAAATTCTTTGTGGCTGCAATGAATTTTATTTTGTATAAATTAATGTGTGATTGGCATGATATGTATTTCATTATTAATTTAATATGCCTTAAGGGGTCGTTCACATATGACGGCACTTGTAACATTTAAGCTATTGAAACCATACCATGTAAGGTGTCCAGTGTTACATTTGTTTAATTTATATTGCTTTTCGGCTTTGCCCATATCAATAGATAAAAATAAATGATATCAGTCCTTAATTAACGCTTATGTGCTATCATATCCTACAAAAACCAAAAGAAAAGCCAATCTTAACTTATTATAAAGTGGAGGAGTATCATGAATGACACAGATTTGGCTAATCATAAGTTGCAAGAGCTCATGACGATCTCCGTTAAGAAAAAGGAACATTTTTTAACTTTTGGACAAAACAAGCACCATCAGTTTGAAACTTGCTTCGACTCAGGATGATTAAGAGTCCAATGGAAAGCCGACTGATGTCTTCAGTATCATTACTTCTGAAATATTGCCTTCTGTAAACCAATTGGCTACTCCGAGAAATGCTACTGTTCGATTATATTTAAAGTCCCAAATTGTTGTAATAAATTCTGACCTCGTTGGTTTGTATAGTAGGCAGAAATAAGGACTACTTTTAAATGAGCAGAACTTAGAGTTTAAAATAAACAAAAAAGGAAAAACTGAGTTGAAAAAGAAACTAAAGATGAAGATTGATGATGACAGAAGATCGCATAAAGCAAGGGACTTGAAAAAAATCAAAAACTGGATTTTTTTTGGAAGATAATCCTAAACTGCGCACAAAACTGAATATCAGGACCTGATGTGGTCAACCAAAAAGAGAAACAACCATTGCTTTTGCAAACTATATTGGATATCGCAATGCATGGTTGAGCTTCTCATGAGAAAAGATAGTTCTAAGTCGTCTTTAGAAGTACGGAAGATCACGTAACAGAGCATTTAAAAACAGATGGCGTGGACTTTCTAAGCGTAGTTTGTCGTCAGAAGGTAAGCGTCATGTAACCACTATCCCAGTAAAGTTAATTAGACATGTAACCACTATCCCAGTAAAATTAATTAGAGCGCAAATTGATTATCACACTAAACATATTGATGGCCAGGTTTGCACAGCTACAATAAGACATTTCGAAGAACTGTCTTCCATACTTGGACCGGATGAGGTGTATTTTATCATCCGGGACGATAAATGTCTCGCCCCAATTGGTCTTGTTGCTGCCAGTAAGCAAATTCCACTGTTAAGGCACGTTGAATATAAAGTAAGCCTTCCTGACCATGACTGGACATTCGCTGTCTGGCACAAGCTTATGCCATCGGTGTATGCCGACGTTATGACCCATCAAAACGTTTCTGGAAACAGAGACACTGTTGTCTTTTCTGGCCCAAAGTTTATAGCCATCCGATCTGGAAAATGCTCCACATCAACAGCACTCAACCATGGATTTAACTTTGAAAAGTTGCTGTGTCTGGCAGAGTTCGATACCATAACTAGGACTGACACTGATAAATTGGTCAATCAGATTTTTGTGTTTACTGTTGATGGTAAGCCCGATGAAAACCCACGTATCAAAAAGTCATTTTGATTCCCATTCACCGTTTCTTGAAACATGATCGTGACTCTGCCTTCGTTGCAACAAATGTTCCGGGACGAAATGCTTTAAAAGAGTTGCGAGAAAGATGGCGCCAATTAGCAGGGAATTGAGGTATGGCAGCCATTTAGACAAACGAGGTAAGACAATTGACATTGAGCTAGAGAAAAAAAACTTTGAATTCGCCGGAAAAACTTTGACCGAAGTATAGTCACAGTTGACAGTAGACCCAACCATTGCTGAGTATATGCATGGACCCATTAAATTCAGAGCTCATTGAACAATATATTTTGTATAGAGATCAAAACTGGTGTGGCACCCATCTCCACTCAAGCCATTAATTGCTTCAGATATAGGACAGTTTTTCCCAAACACTTGCATGTAACGAGTCATATTCGGTAATATGGGGTAGTTTTTTTTTCTCTCCAAACACTTGCATGGAATGACTCATATTCGGTAATATGGGGTAGTTGTTTTTTTTTTCTCTCCAAACACTTGCATGGAATGAGTCATACTTGGGACATTAGGGTAGCTTTGCCCATGCGCTTGCATGTAGCATGTCATATTTACGGATATATGACAGTTTTTCACATACGCTTGCAATATACAGCAATTATTTGCCTATTCACTTATATATAGAGATTCAAACTTAGGTTTATAGGAAAGATTTTTTTCTTCCATACACTTGAATGTAAATAGTCATGACTGGGGATATAGTGCAGTTTTTACCATACACTTGCATGGTCATACTTGGGAATATAATGTAGCTTTTACCATACACTTGCATGGTCATACTTGGGAATATAGTGTAGTTTTTACCATACACTTGCATGGTCATACTTGGGAATATAGTGTAGTTTTTACCATACACTTGCATGGTCACACTTGGGAATATAGTGTAGTTTCTACGATACACTTGTATAGTCATATTTGGTAATATAGTGCAGTTTTTACCATATACTTGCATGGTCATACTTGGGGATATAGTGTAGTTTTTTACCATACACTTGCATGGTCATTTTTGGGAATATAGTGCAGTTTTTTTTACCATACACTTGCATGGTCATACTTGGGAATATAGTGTAGTTTTTACCATACACTTACATGGTCATTTTTGGGAATATAGTGCAGTTTTTACCATAAACTTGCATGGTCATACTTGGGAATATAGAGTAGTTTTTACCATACACTTGCATGGTCATACTTGGGAATATAGTGCAGTTTTTACCATACACTTGCATGGTCATACTTGGGAATATAGTGTAGTTTTCACCATATACTTGCATGGTCATACTTGGGAATATTGTGCAGTTTTTACCATACACTTGCATAGTCATACTTAGGAATATAGTGTAGTTTTTACCATACACTTGCATGGTCATACTTGAGAATATAGTGTAGTTTTTACCATACACTTGCATAGTCATTCTTGGGAATATAGTGTAGTTTTTACCATATACTTGCATGGTCATTTTTGGGAATATAGTGCAGTTTTTACCATACACTTGCATGGTCTTTTTTGGGAATATAGTGCAGTATTTTATCCTTCACTTGCATGGTCATACTTGGGAATATAGTGCAGTTTTTTTACCATACACTTGCATGGTCATACTTAGGAATATAGTGTAGTTTTTACCATACACTTGCATGGTCATACTTGGAAATGTAGTGTAGTTTTTACCATACACTTGCATGGTCATTTTTGGGAATATAGTGCAGTTTTTACCATACACTTGCATGGTCATACTTGGGAATATAGTGTAGTTTTTACCATACACTTGCATGGTAACACTTGGGAATATAGTGTAGTTTTTACCATACACTTGCGTGGTCACACTTGGGAATATAGTGTAGTTTTTACCATACACTTGCATGGTCATACTTGAGAATGTAGTGTAGTTTTTACCATATACTTGCATGGTCATTTTTGGGAATATAGTGCAGTTTTTACCATACACTTGCATAGTCTTTTTTGGGAATATAGTGTAGTTTTTACCATACACTTGCATAGTCATACTTGGGAATATAGTGCAGTATTTTATCCTTCACTTGCGTGGTCTTTTTTGGGAATATAGTGTAGTTTTTACCATACACTTGCATGGTCATACTTGGGAATATAGTGCAGTATTTTATCCTTCATTTGCATGGTCATACTTGGGAATATAGTGCAGATTTTTACCATACACTTGCATGGTCATACGTAGGAATATAGTGTAGTTTTTACCATACACTTGCATGGTCATTTTTGGGAATATAGTGCAGATTTTACCATACACTTGCATGGTCATACTTGGGAATATAGTGTAGTTTTTACCATACACTTGCATGGCAACACTTGGGAATATAGTGTAGTTTTTACCATACACTTGCATGGTCACACTTGGGAATATAGTGGCATGGTCATACTTGGGAATATAGTGTAGTTTTGTGACATTCACTTGCATGGTCATATTTGGAAATATAGTGCAATTTTTTGCCATACATTTGCATGGTCATACTTGGGAATATAATGTAGCTTTTACCATACACTTGCATGGTCATACTTGGGAATATAGTGTAGTTTTTACCATACACTTGCATGGTCATACTTGGGAATAGAGTGCAGTTTTTTACCATACACTTGCATGGTCATAATTGCAAACATAGTGCAGTTTTTTTTACCATACACTTGCATGGTCATACTTGGGAATATAGTGCAGTATTTTACCGTACACTTGCATGGTCACACTTGGGAATATGATGCAGTTTTTTTACCATACACTTGCATGGTCATACTTGGGAATATAGTGCAGTTTTTTACCATACATTTGCATGGTCATACTTGATAATATGTTGCAGCTTTTTTACCATAC